GGCGCCGCCGGGCTGCGGGTCCGCGCGGCCCAGCAGCCGCCACGGCCACGCTGCGCAGCGCGGGGGGCTGCGAGACAAAGAGGGAAACGTGGGAGCGCGGAGCGGCCGCATGTAGGGACGCGAGCCAGGCCCCAACAGAAACTGCTGGCGAAGTTACACTGTAAAACAAGAGCAAAAAAAAAAAATCTTGACAACATTACCTGACAAACACGGATCACGGACAGCTGTCCTGGCTGGCCATAGCCCTTTGTAGCTTGGAACTTGTTCTCCAGTAACTTCAGTGCATGCTTGCTACTAAGACTTCATTCTGCAGCGTGGCTTTTGCGGTTTCATGTTCTGGAGCAACCTCTCTCAGATAACAAAATGAGATTTTTTTATTTTCTCCATCTTGAAGGAGGATGCTCTAGCAGTGCCTGTGCTGGACAATGCCCTGGAACATCGGCAACCTCTCCAGCTCTGCCACAAACTTCTCTGTGAAAGCAGGTGAGTCAAGCCCAATCTTCTGAAGAAGCTGAGCAGCAAAATACCCCCTGCAGATCCTCTTACAGATCTCCTTTTATCTCTCATCTATAAAACAGAGTTGCAGCATTTCGTTGCTTCAAGTAACTGTTGAGGGTAAAGAGAGTAAGAGATACTCAGATATTCTAGAAGCACGTGGGTGGTGGGAGCTTGTTAGATTTTGAAGAGTTTTGCTGGGATTAAATAGCATTCATAATTTAAATGCATATAATCAAGTTTAGTGCCTTGATGATCAAAATCAACAGTTACTCATACAGTACCTCACTTCTCAAGCAATATTTTTCAAGCAATAATTACATGGTAAAAGGCATACTTGCGATTGGTTAGTAGCTAAAGGAAATCAGCTAATCCCCCTCTACAATTCAGAAGCTTTCAGAAGCATGTTATGAGACATGGTCTAATAACCATATCTGATAACATTTTCCTCATCTCCCAGACTTTCAAAGTGTTAGAAAACTTCAAGGGGGTTGCTGATGTGCAAGGGAGTTTGGACTGAATGCTGATTCTGTAGTTTAAGTAATGTGAAAACAATGTAAATTGTTTCAGCTCCCTTTTTACTCATGTTTTTTGCAGTAGTACTTTTCTCTTGTGAAATACACAGTGCAGTTACTCCTGGCTTGTTTTTTATGAGCCAGTTCAGCTGCAGCAGCTGAGCTGAAATCTGACTAGCACAGCTGTGCTCCTTTAAAACAACAGCTGATTTTTCTTTCCTGAAAACTGCCAGTGATCCATGAATCCATTCTTTTTTTCTTTTGTGCACTTATACAGTTGACTTGCAATTCAGTTGGTTGTTCAGGAATGTTAATATCCAAACACATTAAATGTAAAGTACATTCCAAATAATCTTTTTTATCATCTCCAGATGCAGTTTGAAATCCAGGTGTTGCTTAAACATTCAGTAGGCCTCTCAATTTTGTAGTAGTTCTTTGCAGCTTTTTGCATGCGATGTAGATTTTTTTAAGAAGAGATATTTTGATAACTGAGAGGAATGCCTAACAATTTTGATTAAATGAGACTGATTTCTATGCTTAGAATTTATTAGTGTTGAGTCACAGGTTGATGTATGGTCTCACAGTGATGCTTTAATTTTTCTAGGATAAATGGGTGTATATGACTTTTCACCTGATCTAAAGCGGTTCCATGTCTTGCTTGGTAAGTTTGAATTTAAAAGGCATTAACAGTTACACCTCATTATGTAGCCAAATCTTAATGGGAAAAAGTTCTGATAAAGTATAGTTAAAACACTGTGATGAGATGCTTCAACTTTGTAATATCAACTTTTGGTTATGGATAATACTAACTTCTCTTACCTCTAGGTCTAAGCTCTTGCCTGACTTTCTGAACTACTGTTCATAGAGGGGTTACTTCTGATATTTTCCCATTATCACATTTAATAAATTACAGCAAGTCCACGAAAATTCACGTGTTTCTATTTTTCAAGGACTGTTCCTGTATTCTACGTACACGAGTTGAATCAATCAGACCAGAAGAGCAATCTGAGAGCAGCATCCAAGAATATCTGGTAATAATAAAATAAATAAATAATCTGACAATGTTATACATATTAAAAATAATGCGTACAAAAATAATCACATTAACTCACATACCTTTCCAAATATTGACTTAAAAAAATAACCAGAGTTTTTTGGGAGTTTGTTTTGGAAGAAGACCACAGATAATAACTAAAGTAGCTCATTTAACTAAATCTCAGGGTAATGATAAACACACCAGTTTGACTGTTCCAACTTCATTATGTGATCTTAGCATTTTCATTAATTCTATTTCTCTGTTAAATGTGCAAATGTACATACTAATTTTGAGAATTTTTTTTTGGAATTTTTTTTCTCCTCACTTTTAGAATGATTCTGACCTAGCCTGGATTCCCCAACCTACAGGAGAGAATGAAATGATATTTTGCTCTTCCAATGTCTCCCACTATGAACTCCAGGTGGAAATAGGTACCAACAACTCCTAGTTGTTCTTGCAGATGCATTCTCTCAGGTTATTGCTTATTCAGTGAATACTCATTAAGGTTGGAAAATCTATTACCTGAATAGAAACTTTCTTTGGTGTCTTGAGTTGAAAAAAAGTACAAAATGTCTCTTTTTCAGTTATTATTTTAAAAATATAAAAACATCCATTATCTGATTGTCCCAAAGACAGCTGCCCTCACTCTCAATGTCTACGCATCTGTTTATGTGCAAGTGCGTACTAGAAGCATTGCTCATTTGGATGCAGAACGTATGCAATTGGTGCTGAACAAGGCTTAAATTTTTACTTCTAAAAATATCAAAGCTGTATTTTAACTAACTTCCTGGGCGTATTTTGCTGCAGCTACTTAAGTTCTTGACTAAATAAAAAAGTTGTACTGCTAAATCAACATTTTAAAATGGTCTCTACATGTGAAATCAATTATGGAGATGATTATTGTGTTTTCCCAATGTTAACAAAGGTAGTCACTTCTGTTTCAGGAAGGCGATTCAACAACTTAACTTCGATCTACCTTGCACGACATACACCTACAGGGATGCAAGTTGCTGTAAGGATCACGGATCTGGAAAGTTGCTCTGAGGAGTATTTGAAAGCTCTGCAGGTAAAGCAACAGCTCTGCTGCAGCAGTGAATGACTATGTACAGTGAGCATGCAAGGTTACAAAACAGCCCTCCTATTTGAATGGGACCATGTCAGTTTTTTCCTTTGAAAGAGTAGGAGGCATGTGTAAATTTGAAACAGAACTGCTTTCTGAAGAATTTGGCTGACAGGTGTTTTAGAAGAGCTTCTGTAATTGTACAAATGTTTTCCTTCAAAATGTGTTTTATATTTTGCATTTACACGAAAACATTTATTTCAGACAAATGCAGTTATAGTCATTTGCATTCCTGTTGCAGACTATGCACATTGGCTGCAACATACCATATATGCACATAGGGAACAAATCTTTGTACTGATACTGATGTAATTGATGTCTTAGCAAAAGTTGTCTTCTAGTTAATATATCCTACTCTTATTTAATTCCTTAGAACGAGGTGGTTTTATCCCACTTTTTCCAGCATCCCAACATAATGACACTTTGGACAGTGTTTACAGCTGGTAGTTGGCTTTGGGTCATCTCTCCATTCATGGCATATGGTAAGAATTGTTAAGTGCTGTTTTCAAATAAGATAAATAGCTGATTCAGTTTGGTCCCTGTAGTCCGTGAAAGATTTTTTTAGGCATCTTTTCTTCCTTCCCAGTGAAGTTCAGCATTCAAATCTCATTAACTTGCATTTCAAGTTCTGACATCCACTCTCTGAGGAACGTTAGTTGAGGAGTGCCTTTGACTTGATACAGTTTTGAATTGGATTGAACGGGGTACAGCTTCAGATAACAGAAACATGACTTCAGTGTGATCTTTGTCTGTTGCAAATTGCCTCTCTATAAGCATTCTTGCCATAGTCACTGTAAAAGCGAGGAGACTGCTCTTTGTGAATGTAGACAATGGAGACTTGTTATGCTTAGGTAGTTTTTTTTTTCCAGGTTCTGCTAGACACCTGCTGAAAACTTACTTTCCTGAAGGAATGAGTGAAGCTCTGATTGGGAACATTCTGTTCGGCACAATCAGAGGATTAAATTACATGCACCAAAATGGCTACATTCACAGGTAGGGGAACATCAGTGGCATTGGTAAGAACCAGATTGCACCAATTAGTTTACTGAGAGCTCAGCTTCCCGTTTTCAGCTTAAGTGTTGTTTCCTTTCCTTCTTCTCTCTATGTCAGACAGTGCAGAAGTATGTATTTTAATAACAAAGCAGAACTTATTTTGTAGAATCTTTAATGTTTTGGACACCATTCTTGTTAAGCCTTTTTATAACACCTATCCAATTATTTACATCCCTGTGTGCATCTATCTGATTCTCTCTCTTCACAGCAGAAGAGAATTACACTTGTAGAGGGTGCTTTCTTACACCCTTTGCTGGGAAGGAAAGCCCATCTCCCATTTCTGGCACTCACTTCTCCCCTCCTTTGAGGTTGTATTAAAAAGGCAGCTCATACTGAATGAAGAACTTCTGTGTGATAATTAGCTGCTAAACAGAACTCTATTTTACCATCTCAGTATCTTATGAATTAATGAAATATGAAAGTCGTACTGTTCTAAGTTCTTATAACTAAAATTTATTACTTTGTGTTACAGGAATATTAAAGCTAGCCACATTCTGATTTCAGAGGATGGTCTGGTTTCTCTCTCAGGCCTAAGCAACCTCTACAGCTTAGTTAACAATGGACAAAAGTCGAAGGTGGTATATGATTTCCCCCAGTTCAGTACATCTGTGCTTCCTTGGCTGAGTCCTGAACTACTGAGACAGGTCAGTATAAATTACACTTTATTTTTGCTATCCAAAGCTCCTGCAGCAGTTAACTTCTGGCTAGATGAGGCACTGAGGGACATGGTTTAGCAGGCATGGTGGGGATGGGTTTATGGTTGGACTTGATGATCTTGAAGGTCTTTTCCAACCGTAATGATTCTATGATTAAGTTTGCTTGCAAAAGGGCAATAACGCTGCTGATCTGCAACTTTACAATGAAACAAAGAGGTACTGAAGTTATTAAAACTCCTCTAGAGATGTTGTAAGATGTTGGTAGGATGTTCCTGCACCGACTTCTTCCTGAGAACTACTACTGATCCTAGAATTTGTCTTCAGTAGAGCTATGGGCTCAGGTTTTCCGACTCACTAATTATCCCAATCTTTTGTAGACTGTGGGATATCAGAGTTTTGTCCTGACACACGTGTGTATGCACAGACCACTGGCTTCAGTGTTTTAGGTTGATTATTTCTCCTGCAGGATTTGTCTGGGTATAATGTGAAGTCTGATATTTACAGTGTGGGGATTACAGCATGCGAACTAGCCAATGGACATGTTCCATTTCAAGATATGCCTCGCACTCAGGTTTGATGCTAAATTTTATTTCTACTTCAGTACACTCAGAACTTTTTTCCTTAGAAAAATCAATGCTATTATTGCTTGGTGGTTTTTTAAATTCTTTTTTATTTATTTGTTTTTTAAAATATCTGTGCTTCTTCCTGGACTAAATTCCATGAGTGGAAAGATTATTTAACAGCTTAGCCTGAGTAAGTTTAAATAGCTGTTGTACTTTGTTATATTGCCATTCCTTTTTACTAGATGCTGCTGCAAAAGCTGAAAGGTCCCACATATTGTCCTTGGGATATAAATACCTTCCCCCGTGGGGAATCCAGAATGAAGAATTCCCGATCCGGTGTTGATTCTGGAATTGGTGAGAGCATGACACGCACAATGACTAGTGAAGGACTGCAAATTCCCTTTTCCAAAACGTTTTCCCCTGCTTTCCACAACTTGATAGAACTTTGCTTGCAACAGGACCCTGAGAAAAGGTAATCTCCTGGTGAAAGCTAATTTTCTGTCGCTTCAACATAAGACGAAATACAGTGCATAATTTAGTATCCGGTCATTATTTGAATACTGTTTAAAATTAGATTTTCAGACAATATGTACTATACCAAACACTACATTTACCTTTTGTTTTGTACTTTAAGAATTACCTTGTCTGAGGAACCACACTTTTGATGTCTGTCTGATCCTTGGGAATTTTTTATAATATGATTTTTTTTTCCTCCTGTGGTTAATAAGAAAAAAAAAAAAGAATTAAACATGCATTTTGTCCAGGAAAAAGCAGCGAGCTGAAGTACTTAGTTTTCAATTCAATATCTCTTCTGAGGCATTACATTCTTTTCTAATTAGAAAAAGTAAAAAGTCTTTTAAAAAATAAACAAGTTACCTTTTGGACTGCGCTCAGCGCTAATTGGGGTGTAGAAGGAAGGAAAATTGTGTTGCTTTTTTCATGCTTTGCCTGTGCTTTGTGGTTAAATAACCACAGGGCTTAGATTCATTTGTCAGTTTAGCACCTTTCCCAAAGGCAGTATTTGTTTTCCAAAACATAATTGTATTTTTCCTTTTTGATCCAGGCCCTCAGCAAGCAGTTTGCTTTCGCACACATTCTTCAAACAGGTGAGCTTACTGTAATCTCTGGTAGATGGCATAGCTATACCCTAAATAAAGTGAAAAATATTAGAGTTGAACTTCAAAATAATTGAGTCAGCTGAAACCTGTGATCACATTGCACATCTGCTTCAAACAACTTTTTTTTACAAAATGCTATGCTAGAGTATAGGATGCATAAGAAATCCACTTCCCCTTTGAGGTTAGTTTAATTTAACTGAAGTCAGACTAATGAAAAACTTGGCTAATACACTAAATTTTCAAGTGTAAGAATTTCACAGCCAATGTGATTTTTTTTTTTAAATAAGAGTAATTCAACTTAGCGACAAGGAAAGCTAAATCTCTCATTCTTTTATTTTCATACAAGAAGGCAACTCTATGATTTCATATGCTTTTAACTGTCAGATGCAATGTTATGTACAATATTTTAGCTTTTTTTTTTTTTCTTCTTTCTAGATAAAAGAGCAGACACGGAGCTCATTACTATCCCTATTACCACCTCCTATTCAAAATAACAGATCAGCATTGCTGGCAGTGCCCTCACCAGCAATTGGGACAGAACTTGGATGTGTTACTACAAAGCAAGATGACATAGAGTGGGAATTCTAGAAAGATGCCAAACCATCATACCTCTTCCCATGCTTCAGAGAAGGAAAATGTGATTCCTACTTGCTGCTTTACTGTGTATAGTTAAAACATAATTAGACAAAGTATACTTGAAAATGCAGTTGTAGTGCCCATGTTTCATTAACTTTTTCCTCTGTTGGCACCATAAAGTGCAGTAAGTCTCACTTTTCCCTTGCTGTATATAGAATGATTGAGCTCTTATTTCCCTTTTGCAAATATTTCTTAACAGGAGGGATCCTGCTAAGTGTATTCTTACTCTGTACAGTACTTAAAAGTTTTCAACTCAGATTGCTGAATTGCTCATAGTTTAGCCTTGGGTTTTGCCTATGGCCTTACTCATTTCAACAGTCTGATCTGTCCTTTCATTCTCACCCAAATTATTTTAGTGAGAAAGAAATCCCCACTTCCAAGCCTACATCTGAAATTGCCTAAGCCAGTTGGTTGCTTATGCAAGTAATATTTCTCTTTTTATACATCTCAAAATGCACGATTACTGTATCTTTTTTTTTTGGCTGATACACTGTGATATTTGCCGAAATTTAACTATCCATCTAGTCTTTCAGGCAGCCCTAACTGTGCGTTGCCCAAAGTTTAGCTTCTTTGCAAGTGTGACTCTTGCATTTATCTTCATTCCTAGTACAGACTGTGCTCTTAATCTGTTTATTATGTCATCTTAGCAAATGATCTAGGACCACTTATGTAAAGCAAATCAGAAGTTCCAAGACACCATGTTAAATAATTTAGTTATTGCAAGTGTTTCTTTATACTGTATTCCTGTTCACCATCCAAAGTTATCTGAGCCTAGTTATTGTTTTCTCCAAAGAATTCTAAAGTAGAGCCATTAACTAGCCAGCATACAATGAGCTGCATGGTATTATTGCCTGTAAACAAGCCTCTTATGAAAGTCACAGTTTAATTCTCAGGGTTGGGTTCAGCCATGACATGGTTTTTGAGTTAACCAGAAGCTCTTTATTGTTCAAGTTGGATAAAAACTGCCTCAGTAACGTCTCGTCTCTAATACTGTCTCAAACAAGTCAAGTTGAAGAAGTAGCTTCCTTTGAAATAGTTTTATGTTATTGTGTCATGCTTTAGGAAATGTGGTGTCCCAAAAGCACTGGGACATTATTGATGTAAGTTCTGACTACAGTGAAAATGTATACATTTGAAATGAATGGATACATTTGAAATTTTCCACATATTTAACGCTTGACATGCGAGTACTCAGGTCTGACATGGGCCAAGCCTGTCCGCAAACAAATGAGACAACGCCAAGGTGGCTAGAAGCGTCAGTGCAAGGCAATGAAGACTGAGCACAAGGCAAGCTAGAGAGGCACAAAAACAATTCTAGAAAAGCGTGTGGAAGTGCTAATATGAAAGACTTGATTCTACTCATGCTGTGAAGAAAGCCCTATATTTCAAAACGTAGTAGGGTGAAATTAAAATTAAAAATCTTTATTATAAGCTTAACCTTTTTGCCTCCCATTCAGTTCTGTAATACTTACTGTGATGTTCATCTCAGTTCAGTCATACTAACAGCTTCTTGTTATTGCTGTTTATTAGGTAAGAAAATAGCTGTCTGAATGAGAAAGTTATGTTAGCTGATCATAAAAATATTAATAGCTTGTTCACTTTTAAAGATGATACTATTCTCAGGTGAACCCCATAAAGTTCTTAGCTAAAAGCTGTTCTGCTGCTTAGGAGCCATGTTTTCAAATCAAGTTATATTTTATAGCACCTATGACTAACTTCTAATAGTATGTATAAAACTATGCCAAAACAAGTAAGTGAGAAAATACATGAAACTACTTTTTTTCTCTCTTCCAATTTCTGACTTCAGAATGAGCATCAGTACTCTTAAAAAATAAATGAATAAAACAAACTGCTGTAGAAAAATTCAGGAAACCTATGTGTTTGTTAGTATTTGCAAGCTTCATTTGAAATAACAGTGCCCTACTCTATATCTATTCCACATAGTTGTTGAGCTGACACACCAACATTTGAGAAAGAAAGAAAAAAGATACATTAAAGTTAAAAACCTCACAAAACCTTATAGTTGGAAGTGTTCCATTTTGGCCCCTGTCATGTTTTCAAACAAAAGCAAGAGTAATACAGTACAATAAAGCTCTTTTTTAGGTTGTGGCAAAACAAATGGATACGCTAGTAATAAAAGAAGCAAAAAAAGATATATTACATGAAAAATTCCTAGGAAAGTTCTATGAAACTTTAGACTGGCTGCTTTCCCTAGCTGTATCTGTAATAACATGGTTAATGCCCACATTGAAACATCTACTTGAAAATATTTCCAGCTTTTGAAATACTATACACATTTCTGAAGTGCAAGAGCCTCTGCTAATGCAATTGATAACAGAAACATGTTTTCTAACAAGTTCATTACATTAGTATACTAATACTAATTGTCTTAGAAACTTGCTCTTTGCTTTTTGCATAATCCGCTAGTCTGATTACTTACAATTCTCACTGCACCACGGACTCCTCCCTTATTCCATAAATCAAAGCCAGAAAAGCTATACAACCTGTTACCAAAGCCACACTGCAATATAAAAGGTTCGTGAAATGAGTAACTTAAAGAAAGATTCAAAGTGAAAGATGCAGTAAAGTTTCAAGGGCATTTTTTTTTTTTTATTACTGCTACTTCTACTCAAGCTGGGAGCAGTATCTGCCTAAGTTAAATTCCAAGTGAGATTTATGTTGCCCCTTGTTTTTCTTTGGAACAGTGTTCTGACTTCATTTGTCATCACTTTGGATTGTCACATCTTCCACTAAGGTCTCTTTGAGATTTTCAGAGAAATGTATCCTTTTCTTATGACTAATTTCCACTTGCTCTGCTTCAGTGTTTTGATTCTGAAACTTCAGCCTGGTAGTATTTCCTGGGTCTTTACCAACAGAACAATCCAGAAATGCAATGGAAGAAGCTGCAGCCTGTGTTCGGGGGGTCTCTTTAGCTGACCCATAAAAGGGGGGCCCACTGTGTGGTCTTGCAGAATGGAGTGGCTGACCCCGGTGTTGCGCTGGAGCATCGCGCAACTCCCGTAGAGCTCTCTCGACTGCTGTTTCAAGATACTTGCATACCTTTATTTTTAAATCCTCTTCACTTGCATGATTCTGAATATTAAGATAAAAAAGAATATGAAAACATTTTAAACTATAGATGGCGGCTAATATTAAAGAGATTACACTTTTTCTTAATCTTATTAAAAGGAATCTGTAAACTTCACAAGCAAATTAAAAAGGTCTTCTCAATTAAAATATATCTATGCCCAAACTTACTGGCTCTAAAATAACTTATCTAAAACCTATGACCCCTCATCTGTCCCATTTGTGATATATCTCATAACCTATAAACCACTCAGGTTTATTTCATTACTAGTAGGAGTAGTAATCAAATATATTGTACTTATATTCAAATAAGCATGAGGAATATAAGACTTCTGTGAAGCTATTAGAATATAGAAATATATAAAACACAAAAAATATTTAGAGAATATAGTGTATGTATTATGGCTACACACTCACAAGAGAACAAGTCAGCACATTTTTTGATTAATTAATGCCAATGCAAATGCTAACCAAAAGAAGCAGGGGAAAAAAAGTCCCAGTTATTCAAAACTTACGTACCTAATTCCATTTATTCTAGCACCTGAATCAGAGAAATAAAATTTCATGCATCTTGGAGAGTTAATGAGAAATTTATTTTAGAAGAATCTCTGACTTACGCTGATATTCTGTACAAACTCTATCTTCAAACGGACACTGAAGACTACACTTACATTGTAATAAATGTAAATTTACTTAGTTAAATAATATGCCAGAAAAAAAATGGAACAGGAGGGATGGCTGGCAGGATACATAGTCTTCCCCCCTATTCTGTCAATGTTACACACCATGTGAAACCTGTATCAAGGTTTTCAATTCTGAGATCATCTACAGTTTAGTGTAAAAAAAAAGTTAATCTTCTGTATGTAGATACTGTCTTTCTAGTTCACTATGTTTGATTTGGACAATTCAAAAAAAGAATTCTTACAGGCAGATTTTCACATGGCATGGACGTTGATGTAGAACCTGGATCTGGAAGGCCATTTGGGAAAGAATTTTCTTTAAAGGCTTTCATGGCTTGCAGTGACTGCTGTTCTGTAGAATCTGATGGAACTCTCACGGACTTGCTAACTGATTTCTTCGGTTTGTTGTCATGTTCTTTTTCTTGCTCTGCTTTCTTCTTCAAGATTTCCTTGTTACAGAGGAATACAGATGATTCTGACTCCTCGTATTCTACAGCAGATGATGTTGAAGGAGTTGCTTCATAATGCTTTCCATGTTTCTCCTTCACACTCTCCCTAGATTTCCTCAAATCAGTTTGTTTTTCCTTCTTACTTGGCGTACTTGTTAATATCCGGCCAAGATGTTCATAGAATGGCACGGCATGTTTCTTATGAGCCTTACTGCCCAATTTATCTCTTGACTTCAGGTCAAGACTTCTTGGTGACATTCCTTTTTCCTCAGGATCTACTTGTGAAAACATAGATTGTGGATAACTTGCTGGAAAGAAGCGCTGTGTATTGCAGGGGTCCGTTTGAATAATAGCATCACAAGCATTTGAAAAAGAAGAAAAATTTACTGCTTCAGATGCTTCTATCTCATCATGGGTTTTCTGACTTAATGGTCTTTCAAAATCTTCTTTTGACAGAGCTATTTCCCTCTTTTTGTCTTGATTTTCTTTTTCAAATGCATTAATTATTTTTTTAATAAAGACCATTAAACTATTAGCTTGTTTTTCATTATTTATGTAAACCACTTCATTGGGTACTGGATCTGGAAATTCATCCTCGCAAAGTTCATGTTTTTCATTTCTTGCTTCTGTATCACTACCTGTTTGAGTCTCCAAGTCACTCTCTTCATTATTATGGAATATCTCAGCTTTCAAAATACTGTCTGCCTGAAGATCTTCTGAAATGTTGCTTAAAACAAATTCTGAACTTGTTGCTTCTGTTTCAGAAATACTGTCTTTAGAATCTTCCGAGATTCTATCTGTAAGATACTTTAAATGTTTCATTTCTGAAGGTTCATCTTGAAGATTTGGGTATAATAAAGATTTCACACTAGGGCTTTGTTCTTCCTTGGGCAGCCCAGATTCAATGTCTTCTAATTGTCCTCTTCTAGCTCTTAAAAGACGTAAGTT